TGCTGATGTTCACATGTTCCTGGTATTTTAATCACCCAGAATTACTCCCTGTTGTGGCAAAATGTAAAGTGTAAAGCACTGTACAAAGGTATGAGGTTATAATTAGCTTTTGGTCAATAAGGTTCAAATGAAATTAAAATGTGATGTGATACTCTTTTAGTGAGACTTGATGTAATATAACACATTTCATTCCTATACTTTTTTACTTTCTGTACACTTGTACTTCTTCCAAGTTTGTTCCATGATTACAAGCTCTTTTAGCTTATTTTTCCAGCATCCAATTATAACCTCAACAGTTATTCTGCAGTCATAGTCCCACGTTTTAATGTAATGAGTGAAATGTTCACTCCTAATTATTTCCGCCTAAAATCCTCTCAGCCATGTATGCCTGTGTGAACTAGAAAATACCAGGTGTTAGGCAATGGTCTATAGAATGAAGACGACGGAGAACAAGCTCTATCTACTCTTTATGGTGTTGTCTCCAGTCTCTCCAATCTATCAATCCCTCTTCACCTCTCTGGCTCTCAATTCCCTTACATACTCTGTCCTTCCACCCCATCACCAGGCAAACTAAACAAATAATAACTAAAATGAAAATTTCACCAGAGTGGCTCAACAGCAGAAGAAAGAATCAGCAAACTTAAAGACAGACAATTAAGAGTATCCAGTTTGATCAACAAAAAGAATGATGAAAAATGAACACAGCCTTGGAGCAGATGGTATACCATCAAGCTTATAAACATATGTAGAATGAGAGCTGCAAAAGGAGAAGAGACAAAGGAAAGGAAACAAACATTATGAGAAGAAATGCTGGCTGTGATGGGGTGCAGTGGCTCACACATGTAATCCTAGCACTTTTGGAGGCTGAGGAAAGAGGATTACTTGAGCTCAGGAGTTTGAGACCAGCCTGGGCAACATAGTAAGACCTCATCTTTACAAAAAATTAAAAAAAAAAACAACAAAAAAACATTAGCTGAGCATGGTGGTGCATGCCTGTGGTCCCAGCTACTTGGGTGGCTAAGGTGGTAAGATTGCTTAAGCTCAGCAGGTCAAGGCTGCAGTGAGCATGATTATGCCACTGTACTGCAGCTTGGGCACAGAGTGAGATACTGTTTCTTTC